CATCAAACGATTGCGTGATTAAGCCGAAAAACATAATAATTAGTATATTTTAAGTGAATAAATCATGATTAGACCGAATTAACACGATGTCTCGTAATAATCCACTGCTTATGTTGCTCCTCAATGGATTTAAAATAAATTTGACCGAAGAAAAAAGCCTTTCTACGGATACTTGTGTTGCTGGAGCAGCTAACACGCAATTAACGACACTCAATAATTTAGGATTTTTGGGCATATCCTTACTATGCCAGTGATTAAGGATATTACTCTCTAGGGGTAATCTGGGTTCAAACCTTAATTTTTGAAGTTGTCCTTCAAAAGTGTCAACTCCAGTTCTTCCGAGTAGACCACGGAGCGCCTCAGCTTCTTGTAAAATTTTCTCCAGAACATCACTATTATCACTACTCTCCTGCCGGCTGCACACTGCAGTGCACACAACTTCTTTTGTTTCAGCGTCAAAGGATTTTAGGTTTTGTAAGCGTTTATATGTTTCGGATAGTAGTCTCTGAGCTTTTAGGCTATCTTGCTCTGATAATAAAACATTGAGACGACCATCTAGGTACAAATTTTCTAATACTATATCTGTATTTAGTAACGTTTTTTCCCGTAAACACATATTTGTAACTAATTCATTAGCAAATACGATTGGAATTGACTCAAGGTTGGTTTTACAAGTTAGCCATATGATGTAGAAATCGCCGATTGTCAGCTGTTCTCGCTGTAAAGCTTCTGTCGCCCTATTAACAGGTTTAAGGCATGTGAGAATTTCTGTCACTTGTGTCCAGAAGTCGTCTGAGAAAATGTCTGACAGCTCAGACTGGCTATCACATATATCCTTTAATGAAACTAATCGCACTAACATTTGGTAAGTAGAAGACCACCTAGTAGAACAATCAAGTATAGGTTTGTTTAAATATTTAGATTTTATATAATTTCTAATATTTGGGCGTCGTAAGACCCTTACTGCCTTTCTGGCAAGTTCGATACATAGTTGAACTTGAATATTGCCAGCAATTGCGTCTTTTATTGCCAGTTGCAATGTGTGTGCCGCACAAAACATAATACGTGGTCTGAAATCGTCTTCAATTGCGTTAATAAATAAATCAACATTCAATTCCAATGGCGTGTTTGTTCCTAGTTCGTTATGGTCATTATTATCATCACCATAATTTTCTTCGTCAATCTCACAATCATTATTCGGGTCAATATCTTCTGTTGTAAATGTAGAGCAATGCGGTATTAATAGTTTTGACATTTTCTTAAAATTGCTTCCATTGTCTGTGGTTATTGAGTATATTTGAGCTGTCGGTATCCTGCATTCGTTTAGAACCTCTAAAACCTTTTCTTTTAGAAATTCGCCAGTTTGTCTATCAAAAATTTCTAAAACAGCTAAATTTCTCACTTTTATTTGGCCATCTTTGATATATTGTACGTTAATACCTAAAAAATTTCTATCTAAATATGTGGCTGCATCTAATTTCAGGCTTATCAAAGTATTTTTTATTTCTAATAGGATTTTTGACTTGATTTCGTATGCTTTTTCGGGAATCATTGCTTTTATAACTTTTATATTTATGTGTTTATTTTGTACGTTAGAAGGAACAGCTATATTAATTATATCTTGAAAAGCTTTGTCTTGTATCAATGCAAGAGGTCGCCCATGTACTGTTACTAATTTGACACAGTGGTTCATAACTTGTTCTGAAGTTGTAGACTGTCGAGATGTACTTGGTTGGTGCTGTTGGTTTTCCTTATTTATATTAGTTATAAGTAGGTATTCTTGCACATGTTTCGTGGAAATGTGATTTTTTAAATTGGTTGTATGCTTGCCCTAGAACAAAACAAGTAATCTGATAAACATATGTGACCAAAAATGGATTAGTTGATTTTATTTATTTTCGCTATTTTAGACATTGGCCCCGTCCAATAAACCAACCAATCAGATCGCAAAACGCGATTTCGTTTTGATCTCGTTAACCATAAAACAAACTCATACTAATGGCCCGTTCACGACCTTATCCCTGTAAGCGACAGCGACAGGCGATGCGACGAATGATGAAATAAAAACTAAAAAACTAGCTATCAACCCACTGATACTAGGTAAGAAGTCGGTGCCACATTTTGTGTACCCTTAGGTACACAACAACAATATTTTTTGCGCGTCAAGCACGGTGTAGGAAACCAAATTGTCGTTGTCGCTCGGCATGTCGCGTCGTTTGTCGCTTAGACCAATCACCAAAGTGAACGCGACTTAACGTAGGTGAATACCTACACCCTGGTCACATTACCTAGAGACCTCGCTGATATATTATCATTTTAATAATATTACCTACATTAAATTAATTAACACAATATTTCGTTTATTGGAATTTTTTTCTTTTTAATTCTAATAATATCCTACTAAAGTATGCTTGTTTTGCCGCCAGGTCTCAAGATAATATGACCGGGTTGCAGGTAGGTATTAGGTACTTAGGCGCGGGACCACTTTTTTAAGGGCATTTTAAAGGGCTACCTATTAATTCACCGGCACACCATGGCGGCGCACCCAGTCGCCGCTACCAACAAAATGTAGGTACCTACCTGGTTGCCCAACCAAGCCGACACGAGTTACTGGCCTAGTGCTAGTGTCGGCAACATCAGGCCAATGACTATAGAGCTGTATACCTACATTTGGTTGGTAGTTAGCGGCGTCCGTGTCACGCAAGGCCGGCAAGGCACACGGTGTGTCCCGGTGAAATATAGCCCTAACTCGAGTTAATTGTAAAAACAGTACAAAAAACTAAAAATCAATGAAAACACATTGTAGTACTAACCTAGAAAATCAGAATTACAGACAAAATTATCATAGGACAATTTACATCGATACCTATTACATCTATAGAGATGTAATAGGTATCGATGTTTTTGACTAGAGTTGGTAAATACCTAACCTATGTCTACCTAGACTTACCACCTAAGTACCTAGTACTTAAATAACATGCTTTCTTTGTAGCATACTGCTTACCTATTTTAGTAATTAGGTATTAATAATATCTTCGTCGAAGAAGAAGCTTTACCTATTTTAAAGTATTAGTAAAGCTATTTTTCTATAAGATCTGGAGTACCTACTTAGGTACTAATATAAAATCTTACCTTAAGGGCATTTCCGCATAAGTTGCATTTGCTTGTATTATTGGAAGCATCAAATGCAAAATAACGATGCACAGCATCTCGCCTCGGCTGTGGCATTTTCACAGACAGATAATAATGTTGTGAACCTTGGGAAATCCACAATACACTAACACCCTGCAAAATCGTTTTTACGTTTCCGGTTAGGTACTGTAGTTCCGCCCAAGTTCCGAAACAAATGACGAATGAAGAAAATAAACAAGTAGTGACTCGCACTCGCACAAAAAAATAAATATTATTACAATGTTTAACATGTGTGACGAGCAAAATTAAACTTTAAGTTCATAGTGACAATAGTTATTATTCCATGTTTATAAGTAGGCCGTCGGTATCCATTGGCGGACGCCGGCCGGCGCGGTCCAAGGTCACGAGTCACGGTCGGTCGTGATTATGCAATTTTCAACCTAATTTCGATTGTAAACAGTGCATTTTGCAATGTCGTGAGCAGGAATGGCTTACTCTGTTACACTGTTACAGGGTTTTGAAAGGGTTACCCGTTCGCAACGAGTTATCTACACCCGTTCGATGATGTAACACGCATCAAAGGGTTTTTTTTTGAAGCGCTTAAAAAAACCCCTTCCAAAACCCTTTCAACGAGTATCCGGCCGGTCCCTGCTTTAAACAGAACAGTGGATGCATCGAGTCGATTTGTATTGAAAAATAAAATTGTATTGTTTCTTGCTCGTTCTTCTCCATAGGAATCTACACCTTGGAATGAGCAAATAGCTTCACTTTTAAATTTATATTGTTGACGTTCAAAAGTGCCTTCCTGGTCTAACTGAAATAAATGATTTTGACTTAGACTTAGACTTTTAATGATAAAGTAAATAAAAATATTATCATACACAAAAACGTACCGCTAATAAAAATTAGTGATGTATACTAAGATCCCGAAATCTTAATTTTCATATTATAAAATTATTTTAGTGTCCAACGCGACTCCATACATACCTCCTGTAGCGAAATTCGAAATTTGAAGAAGCAAAACGTAACAAAACAAAACGATATAGATCGCAAGACAATAATGGAAAAATTATCTTTATTTGTTCGAGCTTAAGGTTGAATTCAAACTAAATATTGTATAACTTATGTCTTTTAATTTCTACATGACAGGAGTAAGAAAATACTTTTCTTGTCTTATGTGACGAATGGTCGTAAGTATTAGATAATATTTTGACGATTTATGACTATATTATTAGGTGCCATGGTTGTTATTAGGTTGAACTTAAAACTATTTTAAAACATTTTTCTCTGTTTGTTATTTTTTTACTATTATTATTCACACGGACAGAACTGGAGCTTGATTTTGTACGTAACCCTTTATCTAGTTGTTATTGTTGATCGAAGCTAAGAAATAAGAGATTATCACGAACAGAGAGATATTTACAACTGGAGAATTTGTTTCATAAATACCTACTTAACGATATCTATCGCAGCATCTTAAAGTCAAAAAGTGACATAGAGAATATCCCGTCCAAATTAAAATTCATTAGTCTTTCAGCATTAGTTCGTTAGCCAGTAGAATGTGTCATATTACTAATAGCATGCACGGCATCGTTTGTCTGTACACACACTAATTGGCGGCTCCCGAACTTCCGTGGGTGCAGTACTAACAAATAGTTCACACTCGACGCCAGTTAATTAATGTTTTTCTAATCGTTGTTTTATACTTCCTAGTTTTTGAAGTGTACAATTTTTTGATTAAGTATTTGTAATTTTAATGTTACTAAAATAATTGTGAAAACTAATAGCTATGGAAACGAAATCTGTATTCACATCAACGCTGTGACATCTGTAGGAGATATACTTATAGTGTATTTGAAACATTCCAGACAATACAAAGAAGCCTTAAGACAGCAGCGTCAACAAGACATCTACCGCCCTCGCACGGACCAGCCGTCTCCCGAGCTGGACTCCTCCCCGCACTCCCAAAACCAGAGCCCCATCCACCAGAAATCCTCCCACTCCCCAGTCAACGGATACAGCAGTAATGTATCACCTAGTCTATACAAAACCGCCTCTTCCAATAGTAGTCTATCCAATACCTCATCCCCAAATCTATCCCAAGTGCCAAATTCCCCCCTCCTACACTCAACCCCCAGAAGATACCAAAATCAATCAACAAATGGAAACGGTGTCGTTGAAAAACAAGAAGAGAACAAAAGGCCCGTGCAAAAAGTAGTGCCATCGAGAAACGTGAATAGTAAGGTGTACTCGACTGTTAATGGGAACGTGGAATATAATGGACGCGTTAACGGTCAGACAGATACGTATATAAAACCTACATCCCCTTCAAAATCTCCTACGAATACCATTGGGTACAATAGTTTAGGCAAATCGAGTATACCGCGGCAAGTCAACGGCGACAGTACTAAGGTGTTGACGACTAGTGTGTCGTATTTAAAAGGTGCTGCGCCAAAGCCTCCCGGCAAGATGGCGTGGAATAAAGACGCTCCGGTGGATAAACTCAGCTTTACTATGAAGAGGGAGTTCGATAAACAGAAGGAAGAGTTGGATTTATTGACGCAATTACGATCGGTGAGTTCCATTCACTATAACTGACCAAAATGAAAAATAAAAAGGGAATGTTTTTAAATAACAGTTTTTGTGAGACATAGTAAACATTGACATGAGTGTTGACCCATGTTTAATAGTCCCAATGTCGTTCGAAACTAATCTAGTAAACCCGTAGCAATATTACTAGGAAATTGTTAAATTTGGGGATATAAATATGTTGCATTCATAGATAGATCATTGTTGGTTATTCGGTGCTGTAAGAACAAATTACTTACTGAACAAAACACGTTATTCGTAAAATAAATATAATTACTGTACCTCCAGATAATCGAGTCGCGCCTGAAGATGTCGCTGCCGGAGCAGTTGGCGCCGGTGCTGAGTGACGGCGTGGTGCTGTGCCACCTGGCCAACCACGTGCGGCCGCGCTCCGTGGCGTCCGTGCACGTGCCCTCGCCCGCACAGGTACACGGCGCCGGGTCAACTACACAGCTTATTGAGATCGAACTAGTGTCCGACCGAAACTAGTTTTACGACCGAAACCGAAACGAATTTCGGCAACGGTGTCTATTTCGGCCGAAACCGAAACCGAAACTTCCTTACGAGGCTCATATTTTGAGGGGAAAATAAAAAAAAAAAACGTTATTACAATCAGTCAGTCTTTATTGTTTTCTCTTTAAATCACATAGATTCGCAAGTGGTTGCATGTGCGACTCCGGCCAAGGAGTCTCGGGTTCGATTCCCGGGTCGGGCAAAATAATACTGGGTTTTTAAAAATAAAATTCTCTGTAGTAACACGGAGTCTGGGATTGTGCCCGGTATATGGCAAAAGGGTCACCCCCCTATTACATGGGAATGGGACTCTTAACATAAATAGTGAAAAGTGGGTGTTACATTATACAGTGGCATAGTGTACACCTCTGCCTACCCATTCGGGGATAAAACGCGTGATGATGTTATGTTATGTAATTATTTTACTAATCATAAAATAATTAATAGTTAACTAATTCACTCATTCAACGCGCCGAACATGACCGATAACAGCGCGGAAACTCCCGAATGCACATTCGGTTTCGGTCGTAGTTTCGGCAAGTTTGCCACCGAAAACGAAACTAAACCGAAAGTCGTGTTTTTACCGCAACTCAACCGAAAACGAAACCGAAACCGAACATTCGGTCGGACATTCGATCGAACTATTGTTTTATTCGACACGAGTATCCTAAGATACTGAAAGGAAGGTAATCTCTTTAGTCCCCTTCCAATCGAAAAAGGTTTACAAGAAATTTCTTAAGATTAAACATCTTTCTCCATTGTGAAAGTATGGATTTAATAATCGATTATGGTTTTACTACGTTATTAGACTAAAGACTCAAATGATTCTTCCCTGTCGTGATAAGTGTGTATTTTTGATAATAATATTTTATCTTTTTGTTTCAGCCCAAGCTAACAATGGCTCGATGTAGAAGAAACGTGGATAACTTCCTAGAAGCGTGTCGAAAAATTGGAGTAGAAGAGGTGAGTTTTAAGTATTGATTTTTGAATTATTTTATGCATAGTTTTCAAACATTTTTTTAATTTTGATTTTTTTTTTGCGATTGACTTGCAATATCTTACGCGCGCTTTGAGTGAAATACTAGTGTGATTAACGTGATTAATTTTGAAATCGGCTTCCCTCGCGCCGTGTCCCTTTCGAGTGTTGCAGGGTCATGTAAGATATCCTTTCGAGCGACAAGATTATTGTAATGAAACTAAGAGTCGGGTGGCGTGTGTTGCAGGAGGTCATCTGTTCGCCCGACGACATACTGGGGACCCTGCACTCTGACGGAGACGCCAGTGTCGGGCCTCTCGCTCGCACAGTCACCGCACTGCTCACACACGCCACGCCGCACGACGCTAGTAGGGATATCAGACCCCACGCACACAACGATACACTCTCGCACCAACATAGCGACGACTACTACTCCGGCGAGGACCCCGACTCCTCCATCGAAGTCAATTACCAAAGGCAGCTCCGAAGATACTCCGAAGAACGATTCATTAGCAACTTCAATTTCTCCGACAACAATCAACACTACACCATCGATGAATCCGAGGAATATCAAAACAACGAGAACAATAACACGGATTCAGGCATACACTACTCACCGGTTTATGGAACAAATGAACTAAGGAACAGAGGACCCTATTACCAGACCAATAGAGTCCAATTCGTGACGCCTTTCTGCAAGGAGGATCACGTACTAAAAAGCGATAATTTCGAAATATACGATACTGACGAGGTTGATTTTCCGACGGAATTGTTGAGGGAAGAGGTTGATACTGAGAGATATGACAGGGGTAAAATGAATCTCCAAATACAGAATAATCTGAACAGTGTGATTTCTACTGAGACTGAGGCTCCCAAGGAGGTCGAGAACAAAGTTCTTTTTACTTGTCTTTGCCTTGGCACGTTCTTCGTGTCCACCATTTTGCTAATCATGTACCCGTTGTAAACTTCTTTTAAACTGTGACCGACGAAATAAGACCAGATATGTTAATAAAATTACACAAATATTTAAGTGGGGATTGCAACAAGCCAAATTAATGTTACCAAACATTTAACCAACTTCAGAAAGGATCTTCAAGAAGGTCTATCTATATCTCTTGAACGTTTTACAAAGAAACAGTTCCATTTGTTCTCGGTCTGCCAAGCAATACACATGTATGAGCAAAAAGCAAGTGAAAAATGCATTGGGTAAAGCATAGTAAGCGATTCATCAACTCAAATGAACATCAGTCGGTCTTTTACATTTCATAATAACTTTGGGAGTTTGTCAAGAACGGTCAAGCTGATATATATTTGCCTTTAACACAGTCTGACTGTGAACGGTTTACGAATTTGAAACGAGGCTAGTTTTTTTTAAATGATCTTAGAACAGAAGTCTGAAAGGAATTGGAAGGTATTTCGAAGGATTTTATATTATGGAATTTGTATTAAATTATAAAGACATTTACGGTTGCAATGGATTAAAATTTTTCTTTGTGTTGATTTGTATAGATTTATAAATTAAGCAATTGGTTATTATTCCATTCGTTATAAGTTCATTCCCATTGGAGGCATTTAAATTGATTAGTTAGTTTGTTTTTTTATATACTTTTTTTTTACTTAGATATTTTGCCAATTGGTTGCTATTGTCGGCTATTATTTGCTTTTGATTTTTATATAACGTTTTGCAGACTGTAGTTTAAGCTGAGGCCTTAGTAAGAGTTTCTTTTACGTTAAAAGTAATCGAAACGAGACTGCCTTCGGCGCTCCGATTGGTTAGTTCATTGGAGCCGGCCAATCAGACCGCCGAACGCGGACTCATTTCGATTACCTTAAACGTGAAACAAACTTGTACTAAAGCCTCTGAATGTAACATACACTTGAAAGACTTGTATAATACACAAGGAGAAAGAGAGATGGCAATACATGCGTATACGCAAGTTCGAAGCTATTTTACAGTCTGCAGAACTATTATTTCCGAGATCTCATCGTTTGTTGTGTTATAGAGTGATTCGCTATTAAGTATTATTTTAAGATTGTTTCGCCCGTTTTGCAAATATTAATGCAATTCTTATACGTAGCAGCCGTAAGGTTCAAATTAGTCTTTTTGCACCAAAATACTATACAGTTATACACGTAATAGATAGCACTCTTTACTTATAAATGTTGCAATAGAATTAATCTACGATTACAGAAATACTGTAGTGTGTAACACAGTTTATAAGAACGTAAAGATATAATGAAATATTAATTATTGTTGCAGACAACTCATTTACTGCGATACTCGGACATTTAATGCTTACGTAAGCTATTCCTTAGTAACGATTTTGTTCCGGAAACAATTGCTAAGGACTGAGTTTACGTAGCCATTAAATGACTTAGTACGGCGGTCAGTGGGTTATGTGTTATGTGATTCTGAGGTCTTATAAAACAGTAGATTTTTAATGGAATCTTTAATTATAACACGTAGATTGGTAGTACATTAGGGAAATTGATAACTTTGGGGGTTGTAATGGATTTGAGTAGTTTTAAGATCAATGGCGCACAATTAGAAGGGTTTTATATGTATACGAGTGAGTTACTAACTTAGTAATGGAATATGATGATTAGTAGGAAGAGGGAATAGTCTTTTTTATGGAAGAGGCCGGTAAATGAGCAGACAGATCACTTAATGGTCAGCAATAGGCGTCGCCCATGGACACCCTGAACACCAAAGGCGTTACAAGTGCGTTACTGGCATTTTGGGGATTAAGAATTTGTGGATTATTGGAATTCAGGGATTGGGGAGATTGGGGGGAGGTAAGTAGGCCTCCGGTAACCGGAAACGCAACGCAAGCGTTGTTTTACGTCGGTTGTCTGTGAGCCAGTGTTATCATTCCGGTCGATAGTAATAGTAATGGAGAGGCAAATGACCTTTAAAGTTAAATGATACATAAATTATTTCGTGTGTAATGAGTTAAAGTCATGACCGATGCTGGTGGCTATCTGTGGAGTAATGATCCTCAATAAAGGAGAAGAGGAGGAGTATAAATAGGTTAAAAAATCAATTTTACAATGTATTAGAGACGCACGACAAACGTCAGAATCACATACACAAAAATAATTTCAAAATTAAAAGTACAATAAAACTTACTCTTTGAAACATTGGTGCATGAAGTATTATTGATATGAAAGGAAATGTATTAATTATATTATACTGATTACGTAGCTTAGCTGTTTACTCGACATTTCTTATAAAATAAGAATTATATGCCTTAATCGAAACATCATATCGTTATTGTATTATTAATGCAAGAGCTATGTCAAATGGTTTTAGGTACATGTTAGGTAGAGGTGCGCATTGTATGAAAGATTATATTTATTTGATACGATGACCAAAAAGTCAACCTAACCATTTATATAAAATTCCTCAATTACATTATCAACTTTATTGTATTGACATAAAGTCGAAAATCCAATGACAGATTGGTATATGTTGATTTCGGGCCAATAAACATAAACATTTCAGAATGAAAATTCAGAGACTGGTCTAAACCTATATGCTTTTTATTTGGTCTCGAATTCTGTAGTAATATTAAAGAATAGTAAAGAGATTTCATGTTAATTTCACTTTTGCTTTCATGATCTTTTTGATGAGTGCAATGCGTGCTGATTCTACATTAGGCAACTTTTTCATTAGTAGTTGTAGTTATAGTATTTCGAAGCTTTATGCATAACAATTTTATGAAAGATTTTTAAGTATAAAAGACAAATTTTACAAAAAAAACCCTTATATAAATTAACCAATATCTTATAACGAAGCCAACTAAACCGATGATGCCAATAAGATGAAATAAAATGTTATAGTATATTTATATAACAGTAACAATAATATGACAATGTTATACGCATTTATAACGTAACAGATTATGACAAGTTTATTATTATTCGTAAAATATATAAGAATATAATAATTATTATTATATTGTAACCATTCCAAAGATGTGTTTATAAAGACTGTAGCTTCTGTTAATCGTTTTTGCGTACTATATACTTATAATACATTTTCTATCGCTGTTTCCATATCGTCTCACTAAGTTTGTCATGTATTTATCTCGAAAATTAGTTTTTCTATGACTAATTAAAATGTTTTGCGTATTTTATTACTTTAATCGGTTACCAGCTTCTGCCCGCGACTTCGTACGCGGAATCCCGTTTCTCCCGGTCCCGTAGGATATTCAGGATTTTTCTTTCACAAGAACCTTCTCCTAATAATAACAAATACAACAAAAAATAATAAGTAAAATCGGTTCAGTCGTTCACGCATGATGCCGTGGCCAAGGGAAAAGGGGATTCATTTATATAGATAGATAGATGAAATTGGAATACGCGTAGATTGTATATTGTGAATCACAAATCAACAATCATTGTGAATCAATAAATTATATAGGTCGGTATATCACAATTTGTGATATACCGACCTATATAATTTATTGATATTAACTTTTGATAATTTCGATTATAATTTGATCGTTGATTACATTTGATTATCTCGTACGACAATATTTTTTGTTTATGCGAAACACGAAACCCTTCCTCTATTTTTGTTTAAACTGTTCCTCTATTTTTGTTTAAACTGTCAAACACCAAGCGGTCACCGGTGACCGCAACCTATTGTTCTATAATTGTGTCTGTATTGACGGTACTCGACGAGTTAAAGCATACATCGGTAATTGTGAAACTGATTGAAAAAGAGTAAAATACGCTTAACAATAAAATATTATTACCCAAATACTGAAACGATACTCGATTTTATGTCGCGCCCAAAACTAAAATATAGTTCTGTCTCCACAGATTCTTTATAAAATGACAGAGACTGCACTATATTTCAGTCCAACTTAAAATTGAGTAGCCTTTCAGTATTCGAGCGTATATCTAATAACTACTTTTTATTCTGGTCATAAGCTATTTTGTATATGTGGTACTTTCTTTCCTAGCTTTGTTACATTAAATCTTATTTGTAAAGCTTTAAAGTCGCAAGTACAATGCTAATTAATAGTATAAGAGATGATAAATGTTTAATATATATAATTTAATGCTTGTAGCGTACATATATTTATTAGCTTGTGGTGCTTGGGTACTTATTTAGGTACATATTAGTGACTGGTTTTCAATTAAAATGTACGGAGAAATGGACGTAATGAACATTGCCAGTAATTTCGAAGTAAATCGAAATCAACTTTGTGTACTAATAATAAAGTTTATAATCGCCTGTAGAGATTGAAATACTAACTCAACAGTTAAGTTTTAAAGTAAATTACTCGAGTATTTCTTGCCAACCATTTCCTATTAAAACCAGTCTTAAATATCTTTTCCATTTATTGTTAAGTACGTTAATGTAATTGTTTTCCTTTTTTTATTTAATTTTCTATTTTCAGTATTATATGTTAGAAAGTAAATTGTAATTTTGCATTTAATAACACGCATTTTTTCACATTTAATGCACTTCATAACGAAGAGAGAGATTTCATTATGTTTTTCGACTAATAATAATGACTTTTTGACATTTCTTTTTGGCTATTAGTCTTAGGTTTATTATAGACGGATGTTTGAAGTGTAATTTTTTTGTATGTACTTACAATGTTCAACTACTTAAAGAAATAAATTTCTTATTGGCAAACGTTTTGTTTTATTCGCTTTTGGTCCTTCGGTCTGAAATCCCATACCGAAATTTCTATGTTATTGTGGTTCTTCGACCCAAATTCCTAAAATTTTGAGGTCCTTCAATCTGAATTTGTACAATGTTGTGGTCCTTAGGGATTTGGACACAGTTTACTTTGTAGTTCTTCGGGTTTGGTAGACTTTTGTTTGAGATCAACATTGTGAAATATGTGCCAGTCCTTTGGGTCCCAATTGTTTTCCATAGTTTATGTAGACTATTAAAATTACTACAAGTTGTTTAGTCCTTTTAGCCAAACTGCAATATTTCAAATCTTAGATCATTTTGTAAACAGCTACCTACCATTTTCTATTTCAGAAACTAATGTGCTGTGCAGCCGACGTTTTAGAAGGCAAGGGTACGGTACAAGTAGCCATCACAGTGACCGAGTTGTTGCGACGCCACGCAGCGCTGCGAGCGTCCCCTCACGCCGTCACCAGCGCCACCTAGCGCCCGAAACTCGCACTCGCGCCATTGTCCGGACTGTCACTGTAATTACAAATGCACTTACGTCATTGAAAGCCTGGGAGCGTGAGTTGTTGGATGTACAAATTGATCCTAGTTCTTTAATAACCTGTCTGAAAAGTAGGGGCTTTTAGATGCGTTTTACTTTGGTGCAATTATTCATCAATTTAGAGGTGCGTATGAGAGGTTACCGAATGCGCTAAGTATTATTAAGGACTTTAATGGACTATAATGAATGGAATTTGTGCCAATGCGACGAGGACCCACTTCTACTATGGGTATAGTCGTCATTAGCACCTGGTCTCAAATAAGGCGATCAACGTCGTATGTAGTCAATTGATTTAGAACTACTAAACAATCAAAATAATACTTGATTAACAAGGTTCCACGACGTTGATCAGTCTGTATTTTAAATTAAACACTATAAGAATGAACTTAAATTACAAGTTTCACTCAAAACTAGTTTTCAAATTAGGTACAGTAAAATATTTGAATGTAATAAAAATATACGCTTGTGTTTTGAGTGGGTTTTGTAATAGGGGCCTGAACTCTAAATACTCAAACGCTTTTATCTTTGATTAAGATCTTGAACTTATCTGTCATACTAGAAGTACTTTTGAAAAGAGTTTAAGTAATTGGAAGTTTTTGATCCCAAAGGGCATTGATTAAAATTGGTGCCTTTCTTTTTTCTGGCGGCAGTCGATGATTTATGGAAAATATTATCTAGAATGACATTACAAACGAAATTGTCTATGGGCTCATATATGGAAATCTCAGTCTAGACTGAGTTATGAGCGTTGAAAGGATCTGGAGTCAAACATTTTACTTCGGTTTTTTATTCAAATTATTCATATTTTTGTCACAATTTCTAACTTCGAATTGCGCGCCACTGTATTCCAGGCACAGGAAAACCATATCACACCACAATATATTCATATTACCAGGCACTAATTTTTATTACCTATTTTCTCTCAGTCGATAACTTGTGGGATGCTTCTAGGAGTTGTGTCATGAAGCTTCATGAGCGTCAGCTGTGGTACCAGTGGTGGGTTGAGTAGTGGTAACCGTCCAAACATCTAATAAAGTATTTTTTTTTTGCCATTGACTCCTGGTGGGAGACTCATCTACTTTATAGTTTGCATAATCTTTTGAAGAAAGGAAACCGTCGACTTTTAAAGTGATGAGCGCTAATTAATCCGCTATCGACGCCGCAGCTGACGAACATAGCATTTCATGATAGGGCTCAGTAAGGTATTTTGCGGGTTTTCGACTGAGAGGAAATTGATCATGAAAATCTGTCATAGGCCATAAACCGTATACATATAAAGTGAATACGCTAGCCAATCAAGCGAAATGTTTTTTTTTTACTTGAGCAGTTTAGCCAGTTAACGGTTCACTCTGTTCTGGTTCCGTGGTCATAAAGCCAAACAAAAAAAAAAAAAAAAAAAAAAATAGTCTACAATAAGCTTTATTACATTCCTTGAAATCGTTTATAATCATTTATTAAAAAATATTTCTGACAAGTAAATGAAGTTAAATGCGTTGTGTAC